AATTTTGGATAAGAGTGATTTTAAAAAATTTTTGTTTTTGCAAAATGAATAAAACTACAAACGAAATTATTGATACTACAAACAACTACAAACGATTCTAAAAAACATGGCGCAAGCGGATTCGAGATATCTTTAAAATATATTGACAGAGATACGTTATTTGTTTATTACAAATACATTGTAACTTGGAAATTATTCCACTACAAACGAAATTGTTGTTACTACAAAAAACTACAAACGATTCTAAAACAAAGTTCTACTACAAAGTAACAACAATTTCGTTTGTAGTGGAATAATTTAAAAGTTACAACGTATTTGTAACAAACAAATAACGTATCTCTGTCAATTTTAAAGATATCTCGAATCCGCTTGCGCCATGTGTCTTAGAATCGTTTGTAGTTGTTTGTAGTAACAATAATTCCGTTTGCAGTTTTATCCATTTGAAAATAACGAAAAATATAAAAAATTACTTACCCAAAATTGAGATATCTGAAATCAGCTTGCGCCGTGTGTTTTAGAATTGTTTGCAGAGAGAAAGAGAGAAAGAAAGAAGGGTTTGTACAAGAATTTTTATTTGTACTTGAAAAATAAAAAACTTATTAATTATTTATTGACAATTAAGAATTCATATACAATGAGAACTTCAACGGTATCGAATTTCTATCACAAATCGTTTGTAGTGGTTTGTATTACAAAAGTTTTTCTTTGTAGTAAAAAATTATTGTAGATATACAAGGTGATTCAAAACAACCATTCGTCGTATTTCTTACTTTATTCTTAGAAGAAATAGTTAGCGAATTACGGACCAAATATGCAATGTCGTATTCTGTATTCTAAAATCGTATTCTGAAGATACCATTCCAGATGCCTCGATTAAATTCCACCCAATATATCCAGTTGCCCGCGTAATGTACATCAACATGGAGGATATGATGACCAATTTTAGTAATGGGTACCATGGCTTCCTTGGAGTCCTTGAGACTGTAACCCCGGGCAACATCCAGCTGAGTTACCACGGCAATAGTCTTGTAAGGCTCGCATCTGGTTTCCGTGACCTTCTTATATTTCATTTCGTAAGCACAAACGCGCGTACCTCCAGACGCAGGCAGACAAAGCTGCTCGCATTCGCCATTGTTTATAAGACAAGGATGAGATCCGGTCACACGTTTTTTATAAATGGTCAAAGTACGAAGCTCCGAGTCGTTGTCAATGATAGTGGTTGGATTGTCGCCGTTAGGCAGATCAACACGTTCAATTTTGTCATAAAGCGGGTCCAAGTAGTACAGACGAGACTCATGGACAGCTATCGCCTTAGGCAAAGCCATGTTGTTTGCAGCAGTAAGAATGGTGCGGACATTCAGACCGTCTGTCGACATAGCTTTAATAAAAGCCGGATTCTGGCAGGAAAAGTATAGCGTCTTGCTAGGTATATCGATGGTAATTGCTTCAGAACGTTCTATGTTCTCTACGAGGACCAGCGGATTAGTGCCGTCCATATTCACTCGTCCGATCTTTCGAGGTATTCCAAAACCTCCGTCGTCCACCCAAAATATTTGTCTGTCAATAGGGTCCACGCACATCGCTTTCGGTTTGGAAACGTTTGGAAACTCTGTCCGGTTGCCACCGTTGTAAAGAATGCCATAAATCGTGCCATTTTTGCTGTCGCCATCTTTTTCTTGCAGCCAGTAAATAATACAATCTCTTCTATCATATTCTATCAATCTTCCGCCTTCCACACCTACGATGGGCGTGATGTATCCAGTCTTGGTTTCTTTAGGCGTTAAATAAACGTCAACAATCTGAGAACTCCGAAGAACTATTAAGTATGGTGTCTCTTCTTCCATACAGCGCCCGTCAGGTAGCAAATTAAATCCAACTTGGCATTTACAACTGTATCCTTTCGGGTTAATGGGCGACAGAAGACATAAATGTTCACAGGATGTGTTAGCACAAGGATTCGCAGTGATCGGTTGTAGCACTGGATGATGTACGTGTATAGAAAGCGGCCGGGAAATTAGATGCGACATCACCGTCTGATTGGAGCCCTTAAACTTGTGTGCGGAAAGTACTCGATTGAGCTGTCTATCGGTCCAATACATAGTGTCCTCAAAAAGAGTAAGGGAATGGGGATGCAGAAGATAGTGCAAACTGGCTAGAACCTGAAGTCTCTTGCTGCCATCGTACAAACATGTGTCGATGAAATCTAGCTTGCTGTCCGCAAAATATATTCTGCGATTTGCGATATCTAGCGCTAGACCGTTCGGCCAGTAAATCTTTGTGCTGATGATGGTCGATCGATTGGTGTCGTCCATACCAATTCTTTCAATTCTAGGGTTTTCACCCCAATCGGTCCAGAAGAGCCATCTCGCACCTGGATTGGGATCCAAACACATTCCACGTGGCTGCGTAATATTCTCCTTGACAAGAATCATTCTTCCAGCTCCAGTCTCCTTAGCTACTTCGATTGTATTCAGCTTTGAGTCTAACCAATACAGATTCTGACCAATCCAGTCGTAGGCTAGACCTTCCACCAGATCTAAACCGGTGCTCATTATGTCTTGATGATCACTACCGCGATCTAATCGCGAGATTCGCTTCAGCTTCATATCCGACCAGAAGATAGTGCCTGTAGGCAGGGGCAACGCAACTCATCGTCCGACGCAGGTGATTATGGGGAGCGCTTGCTGGGATCAGCTGCTTGCTATACGCGATAGTACGCAGCGTATACAGTCCGTAATTCCCAACTATTTCTTCTTATAATTTAAAAAGTAAGCTTCGGTAAGAGTAAGTTTTCTTTTATGCGATGACAATACAATGACTTTCTAATACTTTTCGTACACAGATTCATCATACATATAACATACAGTAACACATACGTATAACATCCAGTAACGGTAAAAAATTAAATATATTAAGGCTCCTGGATGGTCACCGCGGCTATATTGAATTCTTAATATCGAGGCGAGGAAAACACCCAATTTTGTCGTGCATGCCATTTTCTTCTTGTAATTTAAAAAGTAAGCTTCGGTAAGTAAGTTTTCTTTTATGCGATGACAATACAATGACTTTCTAATATTTTTCGTACATAGATTCATCATACATATAACATACAGTAACACATACGTATAACATCCAGTAACGATTAAAAATTAAATATATCAAGGCTCCTGGATGGTCACCGCGGGTATATTGAATTCTTACTATCGAGGCAAGGAAAACACCCAATTTTGTCGTGCATGCCATTTTCAAAAAAAAAAAAAATTTCAATAAAACATCACTATAAATCGTTTCAGAACACTTCCGAAATTTACCAAAAACTATCCTTTTCCCTCGACAATAAACAGCCATGTCAACGCAGAGTTCTCGGCTCAGGGACCAGGAGCCTTAATTCGTACCGTATTTTAGGTAATAACCCGCACATAAAAATAATTAATGAAAATATAATATTAATGTATATATATGTATATATGTATATATCACACATGTATATAATATTCAGCAAATAATATGTAACAAAAAAATTAATTCTATATTAATGTGTATTTTTGTGAGGTAACGCAGTTATTAGATAAATTTTTATCATTTATTTTCAACGTAAAAATTAAAATATTTTCATATAGTAAAATGGATAAAAAAAAACTTCGCTAGTAATGTATTTTTGTTAATGTTATGCTCGAATTAGATTTAAACACTAGCATGAGTTTTGTCAGACTTTATATAAAAAAGGACATGTATACATCTTTTTTGTTTTTTTTCTCGTTTGTTAAGTTTGCGTGGTTTTGCCGTGGGGGATAGACCGTCATGAAGTTCCCATGAACCTAATTTGTTTCAATTTCTCAAATTTAATGATTGATAGTGGCCTACAGTATCCTCACTTGTTGCTGGACCTGGAATATGTTCAATGGCCCCAACTAATTTATAAATATAGTCTCCAAAGTACAAATCGCCTGGTAAATCTTCTAAAGAAAATTTACGTTCATAGTCACTTAAATATCCTGATCTTTTGGCAAGAATAGTCCATTGTAATGCTTCAAAGTCGACAAATAAATGAGGTCCGTAATCAAAAACAACTGTTTTTTTTTCATTACATGTTTTACAAGTTTGCAGTTTATGTTGACAATAATTGTTTAGCGATTCTTGAAGTCCTTTTAAACCCTTGTTGTACAATGGGCTCAAATCAACTTCGAATGTTGATTTAATCCTTGTTTTTGAATCCTTACAAACATTGCAAATTTGAGTCATGGTAATGGAAGGTTCATCATGAAATATTTCGTCAATAATATTGCCAATATTCGACCTACAATTCACAATATTGCCTTTAGGTTTCTTGAATTTTAACAGTATTTCTGCACGAGCCTTATAAACATAATTAATTGCTCCTTTAGTTGACAGTACTTTAATGATGTCAAATACTTTATTATTGGATCGATTCACATACTCATTATACGAAGCCCAGTCTGTATAACCAACTCGAACAGAATGAATGATTGAATCTAAGGGACAAGTATTTGAGAACTTGAGTAACCCTGCACTGGTCTGGAGAGGAGGTTTACTATTGCCGTTTATCATAAGCGATATTTTTTTAGTTAGTTTTGGACGTTTATGAAGATTCTCAATATCAGGATAATATTCAAAATATACAGCCTTTCTCTTCTTATTGTTGGTCAAGCCTTTCCATTCATCAACTTTATTTAAATAGGAATTTTCCCGATTTGATGAAATATCCTGTAATACATCTGTAACCGCAGTGGGCTCATCCGGAGGATTCTTTAATTCAGTAGATTGATTAATATTATAATTTGAATCATCTAGAATCGATGGAGATGATTCTGTTTCACTAAGCAAAAATCTTTTTTTGTTAACTTGACCAATGGGAGATATATCCGACAGCAATAAATCATTTACACTGTTCTTAGGAAAGTCATTCTTGCAGCTGGATTGTGTATAATTCATTAATGATTTATCGAGTGTAAAATTACCTTTCGAAATTTCCTTACATGAGTCCTCAATGTTTGTAAAATTATCGATAGTAGATTTATCATTCTTAGCTAATGACACATCAGTATTATTTGTTGAGCTTTCTATAATGATTTTAGTGTTACTAGGAAATATTTTATTTTGACATTCACCCTGATTATCCTCTGAATTTTCAATAATATTGTCATTCATGTTTAGGAATGAAGAGTTTTGGAAATTACTTGAATTATTTAGTAAACTTTCAGTAATATTCGTCTTCAGGTTTGACGATTCAAGAATTCGACTTTCCACTGTGTCTAAAAATTGTGCACTGGTATCCTGACTTGTATTAGCAATTTCATCATTGATTCTTTCCTGCGAACTATCATCACTGTTAGGTAAGTTACTGACGTGTTTATTCGGTGCTAACAAGTTAACAGTACCACTTAGAACTTTTAAATGCTGGATTACAACCTTATCAACCCTAAGTTTTTTTTTCTGCAGAATAAAATTTTTAACATCTTTAAAATATTCTTCACTGCGTGTCGAAGATGCTCTCTCAATGTCGTCGGTCTCATGATATTTATTTTTACGATAAAAGTTTGGCATAATATGAGTCCACAAAACAAATTCTTTTGATAATTTTATAAGCTTCTTCCCAAAACTTATGCACATATATTTATTAGGAACTCCTGTTGATGTTATATTTTCCTGACTTTTCTTCTCAATGTTTTTTATAAAGTTAATAATTGGACGTCTGTTATCATTCTCATAATTTTCATCAGTATCACGATTCAAATCGTTTACTTTTACAAAAATGTCATCTCTGGAATCATCATCGTTTAGTGTCCAGGTATCAAGACCAGTTTTCATTAGATTCAAAAGCTCCTCTCGTGATTTAAAGCAGAGATCAGTGTCATTATTTTCATCAATTTTTGATGAATAAGCCACAATCAACACGGCCAGTAAGAGATTTTCAAATTTTTTAACGTCTGTTTGAAGAGTTAATAATGCAACACATCGTATAAAAAAATCCTTTACGTGAGACAGATCTTTGGAAAAACATGGCCATCGAGTAATCATTTTTATTAAATGGGCGATGTCGATGCGCAAAAGACACATTCTTTTCAAATATGTATCTGATGAAAATATTTGACGGAAGCATTCATCCAAATATTCTTGCAGACCGCACTGATTAAATGCCAACGAACAAGCAATTAAAAGTGCCCTAGAATAATCTGTAACAATTTCTTTTGGAATTTTAGCACCTGAGCGCAACCATTCTCGTATCCAATAGCACAACGTATTTGCGTCATGTTTTTCGGATATCATTTGAAATAGCGGGAGTATTTTACCATTATAACCTGTCACAGCTTGATATAAATAAATGATACTCTTTGAACCATCAGCTGTCGGTAGCGGTTTTGTAAGACTACCAGTTGCATCAATACTAATGGCACCTACTTTGTCATTTTTTAAGAACAAGTTATACAATGTGATTTGTTCCGGTAACCAATACATGATAAATGCTTTATGAAGAGATATTGCTCTAATACTTCCCGCATATTCAGGAGATTGTGCTAATTTAAACAGGGAAAGAATCGGATTTTCTCCAGATTTTAATCCTAGTTCTTTTTCAATTGTTTGTTGCATTACTTTACGCAGGACTTCAGATGAATATAAATCAGCAGGCATATTATCGCCAAAATTCATACGCTTGTGCGCAGCTTCACGTTGCCATAAGTAGACCGACTTCCCTTTCAGCTCTTCAGCCACCTGTCTTCTTCTATCTCCTCGAAGTTGCCGTTTTTTCGTGTGAATAATTTCCCGCGTATCCAGAGTCGATATATGAAAATCAATTCCGTCAGCAGTTGGTTCAGTTAGACTATATAAATGAATTTCTGTATTACATTGAGTACATTGGCCTTTTATAGTTAAAAATGGCCCCCCTGTAGTTCTGTCAATTTTGGCATTCTTGAAACTGAAGGCACATGGCAATTTAAGATTTTCATAAATCGTATAATAAACTTTGTCACACCAACCGGGTTCTAAAACTTCATATGTCCTTTCCTTATATTCCTTTAATTGAATTCCTATTTTATTCCATTCTTTACAGCTCAAATGAATATTTTGTCTCAAATCTTGTAAATCTTTGTGATGTTTTTTTGGCACTTTCATTGACCAATTCAATTGATCTTTATTGCATTTTTTGGGTTTTTTGGGAATTTTTGGCAGCTGTTCACCATGGATACGATACGATAATCCTGTTACTGAATTCTTATTAATCATTCCACGATTTTGTGTAATATATTGATAAATGTGATCCTTACTCATTTTATTATCTGTTACGTGAGATGCATCCTGCCAAATCCGATCATTATATGGTAAATATTTGCCATCTTTCAAGAAATTCCAACTTTTGAAAAGATTATATAAATCATCACAACTCAGCTGTGGTCGTTTAGGCATACTGAAGGATAAATTTATACAGACTAGATCGAACCAAATTGATGCTTATAAAAAATATCAAAAGCAGACTAGATCGAGAAACTACTCAATTACAATAACATTTTCTAATCTTCCATGCTATAACGTATATCTTACAGGCTACATATGTACATATATACACAACTAATCCTACATGAGTAGGATTGAGTTCTATAAAGTCGCTACATTTTTTTTTAAGGAGGCCGTGAGGAAACTAATTCGATGAATCCATCGATTAATGTCATTCTATTAACAGTTCTTCCTTCCTTTTCCTGAAAAAAAATTAACGGGAAGGTTGCAATAATGATTTTTTATAGTGAAACGAATTTTATTAATATGTATATATAATTATATATGCTATTAAAGTCTGGTAAAAAAATTATTTTTGTCATAAAAATGTATTTGTCCTAAGAAAGTATTTTAGAAGTCAATGCATTTTGCTATTCATATAACAATTCTTTTGTAAACAATAAAGGATCCCGCACTAAACCACGGAAAAATGGATCCCGGTCAAATTGGCTAAAAATTAGTATGATGTAGTTCATGACGTTTTGATGAAAAGTGACCATGGGCACAAAGTCCAAAAATAGACAGTTATCGAGTTACAGAGCGTCAAACATCGGAAAAATGGGTTCATCGGCTCATGGTAGTCCTTAATGTGTACGGGCATACTGGTGTAAGCCTGTAAGTGTGTGTGTGCGTGAGTGTAAGTGTGTGTGTGTGTGTGTGAAAGTGTATGGGTGTAAGTAATATCGCGCGCGCGCGCATACACACAGTCACTCACTCACTCACTCACGCGCTCACTCACTCACTCACTCACTCACTCAGTCACTCACTCTTTCACACACACACACGCACGCATGCTCGCTCGCTCTCACACACACACACACACACACACACACACACACACACTTACACTCAGGCACACACACACTTACAGGATCACACCAGTATGACCGTACACATTGGACTATCATGAGCCGATAAACCCATTTTTCCGATGTTTGACGCTCTGAACTCGAAAACTGTCCATTTTTGGACTTTGTGCCCATGGTCACTTTTCATCAGAACGTTATGAATACATCATACTAAATTTTTAGCCAATTTGACCGGGATCCATTTTTCCGTGGTTTAGTGCGAAATCTTTTATTTGACAAAAAAAATTTTCTTAGTATAACAGTAAAATACTCTTACCTTAATTAATAATTTCAATACTTTGAGAGAGTACTTCTTTTAAAAAGCCTAATGAAGAATCCAGAGAAAAATGGATGCAATGCATACAATACCAAAAATCTCGAAAATGCACTGTAAAATAAAAAGTAAATAAGGGACAAGCGGCGAGATCGAGGGGAAGGAATCGATAGAGCGAGGGAACAGGAAAGAAAGGCGCGTGGTGTTCAAAGGTCAGGTCGGGTTGAGGGAAGTGTAATTGTAAAGGGTTGGGTACGTCCCTGAAAAAACGCCAATTGATATAAGATTGTAAACTCTACGGAGATAAACAATAAATATATACATACATACATACATGAAAAGTAAATAATAAAAAGCAGAATGATGAGTTTTGAGTTATAGATAAATTATCATTTGAAGTTTGAATGTTTACGAAATATTACTTGTTTGTTGAGGCGTTAACACAGTGATTTACCCAACCTAACCTAAGAAATTTGACATGGGTTTATTGTAACAAGAAAGAAAACGAACCTATGAATAATGCGTCGAAATAATCGTCTGTAAACTATCTTATGACTGTTTTTTAATAATGAAACCAAATTAATAATGAAGTCAAATAATGTTATAATCTTTCGATTCTCATGAAGAATACATTATGCGTAGAAAAAAACACGTAATAGCGAATTCATCTGAATTACTGCTTCAGATAGAACACACTAGATGGCACAGTATTGCTATGATAACTGTATGTATGCATTGCATTCATTTTCCTCTGGATTCTCAATTTGGCGCCTTTTTAAAAAAATTACTCTCTCAAAGTATTGAAATTATTAATTAAGGTAAGAGTATTTTACTGTTATACTAAGAAAAAATTTTTTTGTCAAAAAAATTTATTGTTTACAAAATAATTGTTATATGAATAGCAAAATGCATTGACTTCTAAGATACTTTCTTAGGACAAATACATATTTTTGACAAAAAACATTTTTTTACCAGACTTTAATAGCATATATATACATATTAATAAAATTCGTTTCACTATAAAAAATCATTGCAACCTTCCCGTTAATTTTTTTCAGAGATTGGATAACTTGGCAGTCGGCATGATTGGTCGTGTCCGCAAAATAGCAGCGCTAATAAAAAACGCTATTCAACAAGCGCGAACACGCACATATCGAGTACACTACTCATTTCACGTTATTTTGTGGACAGATATGGGCAGATGTCCAGTCTCTATTTCTAGAGTCTCTAATGATGACTACTTTAAAAGTTACAACACGTATTTTCAATAAACAAATAACATATCTGTTAATTTTAAGGCTCCTGATCCCTGAGCTGAGAACTCTGCGTTGACGGTGGCGACGTACCGTCTTATTGTGTCTTATTTCGAGAATGGTGGTGAAGTGAAGAGACAAGAACATACGATATCGCAACCGTGAAATTATTATTCTCTTAAAAGCTCCCGCGCGCGCTTCTCTCTCCTATTATTTGAATTTTTCCTCTTTTTTACCCCTCTTCCCCCCTCGTAGAACCATTATGTGGATTTTAATGAACACCGGCGGTGCTTTCAACGATCGGTCCACACAATGAACGCAACTTGTCTTTTCCTTTTATTATTATTTGGCAGTGCGAGACAGCCGCGTGCTCGTTCGCTTCCTCTTTCGCTACGCAAATTCGAGTCTTGTCGAGATATGAGAAACGCTACATCGGCTATATCAACCTCGGTGAAACGGCGAGAAATCGTGAGATCGTCCGGGTCCCGAAAAAAAAATTCAGTCCAAATATATTTCAGGCGGTTGGTCACGCCGCTCGATCCTTGCCGCTCCATTCATAGCGCGTAAAATATCGTCTTTCCTTTTCCCTTTTTAAAAGTCTATCAGGGCTCGCGAGATAACAAAGCTGAATTTTAATTTAGGCGGGGCTCACCAGTTCTCATCGTTCCGCGCGCGTATATATACTTCGAGTTTCTTTTTACACGCTATAAACCATATTAGTTTAAACTATGCAATATACTTTTTTACTTTTATATAAGTACAAGCACTTCTGTAATCAAAGCAATCTCGCGGGGCCGCGAGCAGATCATTAAAGTCGTTAAAGGGTTTCAGCAAGCACAATAAGAACTCTCACCAATGGTTATTGGCAACGGCTATTTGATGGTCGATCGTTTGTCGACCATCAAACTTATTTGTATCGAGATAGATTTTCTTGTACATCATGGCCACGTTATTACGCACAGATTGATCGCGATGAAACACTTGAAACAGAGCCTCGCGCATGGAGTCGGCCGCTCCAGTTACTCCAAATTGGAAAGCAACTCCTAAAAACGTGCACGACTCGACGGCGTTTCCAGCGCATGTGGAAAACAGCAATTTTTCTGCCATCGGTATCGCCTTCTCCAACTCGGTCTCAAATTCCAGACAATTCTGCAGAAATACAATGTATTATAATAACAGCGAATCGTTCAAAAGAATCGCAACGCTTATTTGTATGCCACGTACTTTTAAGTATTTCATAACGCGTTTTCACAATCTTATCTCCTCTCTCTTGTTGTCGCCTTGTTCCGATTTGGACGCGTCGTTCGCATTATCGTCTCTATCTGTCGATTTAGTCTCTGATTCTATGAAAATCTTCAGCAAAAAAGCAAATAGACATTCCTCCTTCGCTGTAGCGGAAAGATTTTCCATTTCGGAAGCTCCCTCCAATTTTGTAAACGTCTTCCGCAGGTATGTCATTGCTTCAGTGACTTTTCGGCTTAATAATAATTGTCTCACGTGTTCGAACACATGATTTGGATCGATATTTTCATCTTGTTCCACATCTACCGAAAAATTAACGTGCAATTAATATCTTGATATATTTTGCAAGCGAAATAATAAAGAAGCCAGCGAATAATTCATTGACAAAAAATCATAAATTCTATTTGCAAAATACGAACCATTTATATATTCTGCTTCATCATTTATTAGAATCTCCTTCATTGCTGATTTTATATCGTACTATAAAACAATCCAAAGTTCAAATCTTTGCTCGTGACCACGTTTACTAGCTCACGATGTGAGCTTGCAACTCCTGCAATTTTGCCGTCTCCTTTTCCAGCAAATTAGAAAGTTTGATGATACAATTTAACTGTAAAAATACACAAGCCAAAAATCAGTTTAGTCATGGAAAAAAGACAACTGTAGCCATCGATACAAAATTTGATAATATTATTAGTTTATTCATTTATATAATATAATGCAAAGTTATTGTTCAGGATGCTTACTTCTTTAACCTTATATGTATGCAAAATTACCGTTCGGCATCATTCCGTATGATCAGTCAGCGAATATTCTTTTACCTATCAAATTAGAAGATAAAAGAATATATGTAAGATACTTTATTTTAAATACATTGCGAGTACATTAATCCGTGTTATCGTTCGGCGGCCGGTAGACGATTGCCGCTCCGAGCTCCGACCCGTACTTTCGACAGGCCCGGCACGCACACACACGCGGTCGCGGCATGTCACCTGTATATCGATCACGTGATAGAGCGCTCTCGATGGCTAGGTCAACGTGACGCTACAAATGCTTTGGAGCGTTCTTCTTCTCTTTCTTTTTTCATTGAAAGAAAAGAGAAGAGGAATGCTTCGAAGCATTTGTATAATAGCGTCACGTTGACCCTAGCCGATATTTGTAGAATCTAGATCTCACATATATACGCCATGATTGTGAGATCGTGGAATGATGCCGAACGATAATTTTGCATACATATATAAGCCCAGATAACATGCATGTTACATAAGACGTCGTAAAGATATCTTAAAGATATCTTAAGATATCTTAATTGTATATCTTTACGACGTCTTATGCAACCTGCATGTTATCTGGGAGGTGAGAGAAGTAAGCACGGAAAATCGCAGTCATGCAGTATTTACAATAGAAATGTACTTACCTTTGAATCTATCAATAACGCAAGTGGAGATACACCCGTCTCTCGGCAGTCTCGGCGGCGAAGAAAGCGCAACGGGGGTCCGTTTCCGCGACCCGACACACGTCACCCGAGCGAGGGGGAGGCGATTCCGTTCCCCGAGAAGAATGCGCGTGGCGCACGCGGTACGCGGTCGCGCGGACAAAGCAGATATGTAACACCTACGTGCCGCCGTGTCCGCGTGCACGTTCCGACGCGCGGCACCCACGTCGCCCGGTCGTCGCGACGATCGCGCGCGAGGTCGCCAGTGACGCCGCAACCTCGTGCTTCCCTTGGGTGCGGGTTAGGATGAAGCGTGCGCGCGCTGTAACTCGGCGCTTTTGGCGTAAACCCGCACTGCCGCATGCCGCCGCGAATCCGCTCGGATACGTATCCTCGCGCGTTCGGAAGCGGTCTGAAGCCTGAACGGCGCCGCGGATCACGCGAGAAGAAAAAAGGGGCTACTCGCGACGCGGGCGGTTGTCGAAGCCGTCGGAGGGCACCAACGAATAACTGCGCGGATCGCGGATCACTTCCCCCTTCCCCCTGCGGCCACAACTCACGCGCGCGGCGCGAAACGAAATGCGAACAATGCAACAATGGCTTCTTCACCACTAATTCTATTACCTGGCAGATGGCACGCGAGACGTGAGATAGAGATGCTGTCATCCCGCGGCTAAGCGCCGAAATGATAACGTCGCACAAATTACTGCAAATCGAACTTTTACGCGCGTAACTATAAACTTAACTATGCGTGCTAAGTGTGGTAGCCTGTATAGCACATTCCATTAGCTACTACTGCAAAGTCATTTTTTTCCTTGAGAGTAAGAGTAATTTTTTAAAATATTTTCTTTTTTGGATAAAACTAGAAACGAAATTATTGTTACTACAAACAACTACAAACAATTCTAAGACACATGGCGCAAGCGGATTCGAGATATCTTTAAAATTGACAGAGATACGTTATTTGTTTGTTACAAATACGTTGTAACTTTTAAATTATTCCACTACAAACGAAATTGTTGTTACTTTGTAGTAGAACTTTGTTTTAGAATCGTTTGTAGTTTTTTGTAGTAACAACAATTTCGTTTGTAGTGGAATAATTTCCAAGTTACGATGTATTTGTAATAAACAAATAACGTATCTCTGTCAATTTTAAAGATATCTCGAATCCGCTTGCGCCAT